GGGTCACAAACATCCAAGAAGTGAGGTCGCAGTCTTCCTATTGAATACTTGGCAATGTCAGTCAGGGACTGACTAGCAGCTGCACCAAATAAAAAGGTTCCAATGGCTTTGTAAGTAGTGGCTATGTAACTATTCCTGATAAAGGAATTTGAGTGCAAGAGTTTAAAGTAAACAGACAGAGTTTCTCCAATAAGCATCTGAAAAAGAAAGAAAAATAATATATTAAAGTTGTAAGCAGGCACTTTAAATAAAAAATAGAAAATAAAATGATAAATCAAAATAAGATCTTTGTTTAAAAACACCCCATCCCCCCCCTTTTTTTCCTTTACAAATGGAGAGTCAAATTAAGATATCTGAATCTGAACCACCAAAAAAAAAAAAATGTGTCAGGTCAATTATGGACACTGCTTACATTAACCACGACTGAGCCACATTTCAAAATACCTGAAAGAGCTTATTTCTTTCATTGTATTCAAATAAAGTGAGATTTTGATAAGTAGACAGTGATGTATCCTAGAGGGCATATACCATGGCTTATTCAAAGAACACAACTTCCCCAATTAGACTCTCCCTATATGTAATAAGCACTTATCTGTGACAGTCTTCATTTTTTCAAACATTCCTTTGAAGATATCTATCATATTAAAAAGGGTAGAACAGTTTTAGGGAACAAAAAAATCTAATTAAACAAAAGGATGTAAGACTGATACCGAAGGTCCAGAAGACAGAGATTGAACTAACAGCATTTGAAGTCCTATCTTCCAGGAGTCTTTAAGCTAGTCTCCCATAATGGGTCTCATTTTAAAAGACCAGACATATACTCTCTTCCCCTTCCCCCAAAGAAACATTTCAAGCAAATCTTTCCTCTTTGTTTTCCACTGACTTTTGTGAAATTGGAGTTAAGGCCTTCCCATAAACTATTTTATGAACTTCCCCCAATTTTAGTTGTGTCTGTGAACATGGGAAAGCACACCAGCAAAATGAGTTAAAAGGTATAAAAACTTTTCCAAGGGCTTTTCAAGTTCACAAACCAATACCTTTAGAAACCCAAAGGATACTAAATGGCAATGTTATAAAAAATAACATTTCCTGGTTAAATAGGATGATAAGATACACTATACCTTCCTGAAACCTAAGCAAATAGGAAACACTCTCCCTACTAATTTGCACTGGGGAGGCCCAGGGTTATAAATAAAGAAGTTTCACTTGAGATATACACTAGTTTTTTTTGCTTCCTCTTAAATTTGTTACAAAGCATTCAAATATTTCCAATTAGTGAGGATTAGCTGTTTTCTTAAAGTTATTAATACATATGAATTATACAAATTAATGGATTTCACTGTGGTATTTCTATGCATGTGTATACTGTGCATTGATCACGTCCACCCTCCCTTTTACGCTTCCCATGCTTTATTAGTAGTTCTTACTCTATTTTTAGGTCTTTTTCTCTTTTTTTTATTTTTTAAAAAAACTACCTTTAGGGTTAGCCTTACCATAGCTGAAATACATGGTTGTCTCCCAAAAGGGATTTCATGGCTCCTATAATTCCACAATTAGAACGTTATAACTTTGACAAATAGACGATACAAAACCCCAAAAGGATTTCTTAATTGTTCAGTATAAAACTAATACCAACACAGTTACCTAAACAAAGCAGATGGTCAAATTTAACTGAAGTTACTATCTCTTGGGTAAAAGTCAAATCCCTTTAAATATATTTAAGCACCACAGATATATAGTCCTTATTATAGTCCTTAATGTGAATGAATTGATCAGACCCTTTCCTGAGAACAGGTCACAGGAGAGGAGAACTATGTGTACTTCTGAGGACATTATACCTTCCCAATTTTGTTTTGGGTTATCCCTGCCTGCCTCCAGTAGCCCTAAAAAGTATATATAATATATTACACACATACACACACACACACACACACACGGCCTCCTCCTTAGGTTATTAGGGGTCCCAGTAATTCCTAATAGATTAGTAGTCAGAATGACTTCTCTAATGTTTCATTTTGGAATTGACCTTGATAGTTAAAAACATATCAACTATCTTTTTCAATGAACTTTTAATGTTATAATTAGTTATACATGACAGTAGAATGCATTTATGCACTTTGATATATCATACATAGATGGGATATAATTTCTCATTTTTCTGAGTGTACATGTTGCAGAATCACATTGGTCATGCAATCACATATATACATAAAGTAATAATGTCTGTTTCATTCTACTATCTTTCCTATCCCCACATCCTCTCCCTTGCCCCCCCCCCACTTAATCTAAGGTAACACTATTCTTCTCTAATGTCACCTCTGCCCCTGCCTTATTGTGAATTAGCATCCAAATACTAGAGAAAACATTCAGCTTTTGGCTTATTTTACTTAGCATGATATTCTCCAACTCCATCCATTTATTGGCAAATGTCATAATTTCACTCTTCTTTAAAGCTGAGTAATATTCCATTGAGTATATATACAACATTTTCCTTATCCATTCATTCTATTGAGAGACACCTAGGTTGGTTCCATAGTTTAGCTATTGTGAATTGAGCCGCTATAAATATTGACATGAAACGTGGAAGTTTCAACTGCTAAAATTGTGGTTAAGGTTGATATACACAAAGGACTTAAAATCAGTTTATCAACTACCTTGACCACAATTTTAGCAGTGGAAACTTCCACATCTCAGTTGTCAGCTGTTCTCCTTAAGCAATCAACTACTTTCCAGAAACAGGTGCTGAGTTTTGTGAGTGTCCCTAGTCATAATCATTATTGCTTAGGGCCACCCACTCTCTGTGCTTGCCACTGATGACAGAAAATCAGTTTGCTGGGAACACTTGAAGCAATGGCACAGATTACCAAACTGATCTAAAGAAGCTGAAACTTAAACCACTACTATTGGGATGGCTGGGCAAGGGAGTTAAATTAAAGCTGGTAACCATCAGGTTAACTTACATCTTTTTCTTTTTTTGGTGCTGGGGATTGAGCCCAGGAGCTCTCTACCACTGAACTATATTCCCAGCCCTGTTCATTTCTTTGAGACAAGGTTTAACTTACTTAGGCTGATCTCAAACTTGCAATCCTCCTGCCTAAGACTCCAAGTTTCTGGGATTACAGGCATGCGCCACTGCACCTAGCCACATCATTTTTTAAAACATGTGCTGTCTCTTTATGGAGAGAAACAGACAATATAGAAGTTCTAAGTCAAGGGGCTGGGGATGTGGCTCAAGCGGTAGCGCGCTCGCCTGGCATGCATGCAGCCTGGGTTCGATCCTCAGCACCACATACAAACAAAGATGTTGTGTCCGCCAAAAACTAAAAAATAAATACTTAAAAAAAAAAAGAAGTTCTAAGTCAAGTCTTCAGAATTAGGTGTAGAGATATATCCGTCCCTTTGACGTACACAAGACAGCCTTATTTTTTTGGTTTCATTATAATACCTGATTCTGTTCTTTGAGTCATTTATGCTAATTCTTAACTTTTGGTGAAATCTATACCTAAGACAACTGTGGCCCAATTAATCTTAGAACTGAGAAATCTTCTCATGTGTTTTTTACACTCTAAAAATATGATGAACCATTAAAAAAGTAAAGTTTGGGGGAGAAAATCAAAATACTTATGAAGATCAAAGACAATAATTATATAAATCAGCATTTCAACTTTTTTAAACCTATGTCCCAACAGTAGTCTCTCACCATCTGCTTTATATCTCCAATAACCAAGAGTGTATGTCTCTATTATCTCCATAGCTTCAAATCTTTCAATCAGGGCCCACATTCTCAAAAGAACAGTCCAAAATCACTGATACATTTCCATATCTTCCATTCCTTTCCAAATGGCTCTGCCTCTATTCCTTTATTCTACTGAATCTTTATGAAAAGCCAAAAATACATCATCAAATTGAACACATTTTTGTCAACTTTCATTTACTTTGACTTTTTGTAGTATTTGGCTTCACTGATCATTTCCTTCTTGTTGACATTCTTTGTCTTCTGAGAAACTATATTACTGTTGGTTCTCTATCACACTCCCTCAATTACTCATATAATTATGGATCGTTTTTGCAAGTCATGTCAATGCCTGGTATGATGTGTGAATCACTACTTTTTAAAAGATGACTTATTTTCTAATAAATAAAATTAAATATATACAAGTCTAACCAAGCATTGCCTGAAAGAAGCTGAGTTAATAAATAACTGCAATTATTTTAAATTAGTACATGAAACTACCACCTTAAGCAGAGTTTGTCTTTGCTGATACTGCTGATATGAAAATAGTATTTTTAGACTACTTTTAAATAATCTGCTATTTTCAGAAATCTATACTCATATGAATGTCATCTTATTCAAAGTGAAGGTAACTTTTTCATGGCTTATGTTAAAATAGTAAAAAACATTTCAGACCCTATCTCAAAAAAAAAAAAAAAAACTTACTCCCTCCTTAATGGAAAAATTATAGGCTGATCTCTCTTTTAACAGCAAAAGGAAGTATAAAGACTTGGCAAGATTAAAGGAATCCCTGATTTCTTAAAACTTAACCATACTGTAGGAAAGTCACAAGTTACTCCAAATTACTCCATAGTTTCAATAATACAAAATTTCATGTAAACACCTAGGACATGCCAGGATATATGCAAGTGGTGAGGACAAACAAAATATCATCTTTGCCTTTGAGAAGCTCACATTCTTGTAAGACAACCATTTATATAGTAGAGGTGGTTTTCTTTAGTGTGCACCAAATGTATGAATACGTTAACTTTCATTGCTAATAATCTAGTGATCATTCTTAAGACATTATATTTCTGAATTAAGTATGTTTTTAAAAATCAACTCCCAAGCTGGGTATGATGGTGCACACTTACAATCCCAGCAATTTGGGAGGCTAACCGCAAATTCAAGGTTTGTCTCAGCAACTTAGACCTTGTCTCAAAAACAAAAAATAGCCAGGAGTGGTGGCGCACACTTCCAGTGGCTCAGGAAGCTGAGGCATGAGGATCTCAAGTAGAAAGCCAGCCTCAGCAACTTAGTGAGGCACTGAGCAACTCAATAGGACCCTGTCTCTAAATAAAATATATAAAAAAGGGTGGAGGATGTGGCCCCGCGGTTAAGGACCCCTGGATTCAATCCCTGGTACCAAACAAAAACAAAAAATAAAAAAGGCTGTGTATGTAGCTCAGTGGTAAAGTACCCCTGGGTTAATCCCCAGGACCAAAAATAAATAAACTCCCAAAACAAATAAGATTATATATATATAATCTTGTTGATCTTTCTCTTGCATAGAACTACATCTTCTGGTTTCTATAAAGCTAGAAGTATGGAGCACAAAACTGTTGAATTAAGTCAGAATTCTGAATAAAAAAATGTTTTAAATCATTTAGTTTAATTACTGAATTCTTCTCCCTAGGGCCATACTCTCTAAGCATTTTCACTTGAAATATTAGAAAACAACAGCTACCATTGTGACTGAAAGACACAGTCTTGTTTTCAGTACCAGTAAAAATTCCTTCATATTCACCGCTAATTATGGAACTTTTTATCTCCCATTTATGGTGTTGTCTAAAAATTATTTAAAGTAAACGTGGGTTGAATGAAGTTTTACCATTAGTTAGCAGATTTTCTTTTCTAGAACTCAGTGACTAAAGAGAGTAAGTATATATGTATATACACACAGATACAATGAGTTATAAAATACTCTGTATAAAGTATAGTAGAACACATTGCTATAACATTTGACTATATCACACTGCTACTGAAACAATGGCAAATCAGAGCTCTAATAATCATACTGAATGAAAAACATCACCATAAAATCTATACATACTCAATAAGGCTCTTCTAATTAAACACTGTTATCTTCTGGTCTCACTAAAAGCAGCTCAGATTATCTTGATCAAATAAATCTTCAATTAAAGGTAAAAACAAAACTCGCTATTTAATCATTAACAGACTAACTCAAAATTAAGCTAAGCACCCAAAAGTTGGAAAAGTGGATTTAACTTACGACAACAATACTGAATGGAATGATTATTCCACCTAATAACGCATAAGGTATGGTGTCTTCTTTGTAAGGGTACTTGATGGACTCATCATTACAGAACATTCCTCGTTGGAAGGGGGTATGCCTTGAAGTAAGAATTGCAAAAGGCAATCCAGCTAGCAAAAGGGAATAAATGAAAATATCATTAAAAATTATCAAAACTGATTAACGGCAACAATCTCAGCAGATGCTTAAAAATGCATTTGCCATGAAAATAAGTGAGCACATACATAAAAAGGAAATGCAGCAATGCATGCAACAGAAATTAGAAGGATTACAGTTTAGGATAAAGGTGGTTTTTTCTACAGAAAACAAAGCTTCAAAGTCCTCTATTAACAAATTTAACAAAAAGCATCTTCCACTTTTATGTCTGCCCGATACACAAATGTATTTGGGAAAAATCTCTTCTCATGCTCTTGTTTTTTAATCACCAGGTTTTCAAGACTATTTTCTAAACCAATCTGTCATGGACTTTGCTTCCAAAAGGAAAACATTTGACATTTCCTTTTTATCCCTGAAACTACCACATTTGGCTAACTCATGCTCACTAGCTATCAGAGTATCTAAATAAAACTTGATCTCTTCATTACTATCCAGAGCAGGTTGGAGCTACTATGAAAAGGAATTTGAACTCAAGCCAGATATCTTAAGAAAAGATGGACAATGGCATCAAACACAAAACCACCCAAAATACAGTTGTTTTCTTCATAAATGTTTTTTGTAAATATGCCTCACACTCACTTCCTAAAGTGCCTAACTTAAGCCTAAATAAGAACTTTAAGAATTCAATTATCCTTTACTTCACTGAACCTAGTTAACTGATTAATATGGCAGCATACTGACTAGAGCTGCTTTGTAAAAGAATGCAGTTTAGCAGAAACCCTCAATATAAGATCTGCTTCAAGAATGATCCAAGTCTGATCCAAGTTTGAAAGGTTCTCCCCTTTAAGCGTCCAATGCTCCCTGCAGTATACTATAACCACACTAGGCTACCATGCTCACTGCAGATTCAGGTGCTCTCTCTCTCCATGAGGCAAAAAGACTTGATGCTCATTTATGATTTTTATCACTTTCACTAAGGCCCTAAAGAATGAATGACAACGAAGGACCGGTACTGCTACTCTGCCTGAAAATATCACAAATACCAAATTTGTTCAACCAACAAGGACCAAAACGAAGGAGTACAAGTGATCACATTTCTTTTCCTGTTAGCTCTTTTACTTCTCTCTCCATTTTTCATTTAGAGACTGAATATATGAACCAAAGTTTATTACTTTACATTAGCCAATTTGCTAACAATCATTGACTCTTTAAGTCTTGAAGATGTTACAAGGTTCCCAAAGCCATATGTAGAGTAAATGCTAGATGTAAAAAACTAAATAAATAAACTTACAATAAGGAAGAAAAGGTGGAAAACAGACTGTTGACGTTTTACATAAGGAATAAGAACAAAAGCGCAAAGCTACTAAAATATACTCTACTCTCTGGAGTTTAAATGAAGAGACTGCATCACAGAAGGCCTCAAAGATATTTTTAAAATTGATAATAATCAATATTTGTCATCTCCCATATAAGCCTATGCCATGCATGACACCAACGTCTTGCCCAATGACATTTCATTTTCACTATTTAAACCTGCTTGTAGACATCCCAAAAGGGGATGGAAAAGAAGACCAGAGAGCAAGTTGTTCACTGACCCACCTAGAACTCAAAAAAGATGAGCTACTTCAGATTCCAATTCTGGAAACTTGGGATTGGCACAAAGACTGAATCCATCTGAGCTGGCCAACAGCAATGGGCTATATACAAGAGGGCAGAAGATAAAGCAGGTGTGTAGAGGAAGAAGTCACTAGCCCGATCCTTTAAAAAGTATGAAATGGACAAAGTAGCTTTGGTTTCCCATTGACAAAATGCCTCACTGATCTTCTTGTTTGAGGTTATTGAAGTGCCTTACATCCTTTCCAACAAAGTGTAATTTTACTTTAAGCTAGTTACAAAGGGTATCTATCTATTCTTTACAACCATAAGAGACATAACTAAAAGAAACTTAATTTAACAAGTCTCCATAACTGGAGAGCACATATATTGTTTTTTGCTTTGGTTAACCTATATGATGTTGTGGTAAACATTTCCAAACATGAATCTTTACTTGCATTTATTTTTTTTTTTTTGAGAGAGAGTGAGAGAGGGAGAGAGAGAAAGAGAGAGAGATAATTTTAATATTTATTTTTTAGTTTTTGGCGGACACAACATCTTTGTTTGTATGTGGTGCTGAGAATCGAACCCGGGCCGCACGCATGCCAGGCGAGCGCGCTACCGCTTGAGCCACATCCCCAGCCCCAACTTGCATTTCTAATTGCTTCCCTAGCACATATTTTTATGTGGAATTAAAGATATAAACAGTAATACTCTTAACTACTCCAAAAAAGGTCACTATTCAGCACTATACTAGCCACAGTGTACAAAAGTGTATAAAAATGCTAACGCTTAAAATAGCTGATATTATTTTTGATATTTACTAGATTTCAAGGCAAAAGTGAAAGGACTGGATTTGCTTTATCAATCCAAATCAAACATCCTTTTTCTTTAATCTGAAAAAAAGTGCATCTCTAAGACAATCCCCTTTCATGATTTCTTAAGTTCCAAATAACTTTTCGCTTGATATTTCAGCTGGCAAAATTCATTTTCATTCCCCTCTCCTTTTTAAACAACTTTGAGGTATAATATACATTCAATAAAATACATCCACTATAAATATATAATTCCTTGGTTTAGATAAACTTACAAGGCTACACAATCATCAGTATAATATAGTTTTAGAACATTTCTATTACCCTAAAAATTTCCTTGAGCCTACTGGAGTCCCTATTCCCACCACTAACCCCAGATAACCACTCATCTACTTTCTGTTTCTACACAGATTTGCCTTTTCTGGACATTTCATAAAAACTAAATTATATAACATACGGTATTTTCTAAGTAACTTACTTAGCATAATGTTCTTGAGGTTTGTCCATGTTGTAGCACACATTTTTGTTCCTTTGTATTGCTAAAATATCCTCTTTTACATATATACCACATTTGGTTTATCCATTCACCAGTTAATGGACATTTGGAGTCGTTTCCAGTTTAGGGTTGTTATGACTAATGCTTTTTTGAAGATTAACATACAAGTCCTTGTGTAGATATGTTTTCATTTCTAAGAGGTAGATAACAAGTGGAATTACTAGGCCATTCAGTAAGTTTATGTTTTAACTTTTTAAGAAACTGCCTATTTTCCAAAGAGTCTGCACCATTTTACATTCCTACATCCTGCTTTTTATCATGGCCACATGGGTAGTCACAGTTGGCCCATTTAAGACTCTTGATTCCCTACATGGTCAACTCATATTCATTCACAAATAAGCACAGCTTTCTCCTCCTACCAGTGAATATTTATGATTCAAAGGGCAGCATGTGATATGTCAACTCATTGTTTCCACAAACTACCACAAAAATACTTCATCTTTTACCAGAGATAGGAAAAGATAACTAAGTACACGGTCATACTACAGCTTTTTTTTTTTTTAAACTTCCTCTTGCACAAATACTCAGGATCTTGTTGGAACTATAACAGAAATACTAAGAAACAGTTTTAGTTACAAAGACTGGCAGCAGGGTGTCAGGGTGTCCAACAAAACTGAGAAACTATAGAACTAATGTTAGTGAAAACTATACCAGTACCTCCACTAAATAATGCTTTAAGGTTCATCTATACTGTTGTACAGGCTAATTATTCTATTCCTTTTTATTGAATAGCATTCCATCATAGGGATATAAGATATTTTAGTATCCCAGAAGAGAATGACATATAACTAGAAAGCCCACAGTAACAAATCATTAAAGGACACACTGCCTCAGAGCCAAGAGTAACAGGCAGCAGTCTGAGAAATCCTGACACACAGGGCTTTGAGACTTTTTGCAAGCTTAGAATCCAACTTAACAGACTAGAAGATGAAAGGATCCCATTGGCAGACCAAAAGATCCCATGAAGTATGGAGGATTATGTTCATTTTGTGAACTATTTCAGGTATCACATTCTCCTCTTAATGCCTGAAGGGAAGGATGTAGATGGAGGTTAGAAGCCTCAAGAACCCAGAAATCTATAGGCTACACTATTAAAAAAAAATGGGCCAATTGTTATTTTTTGCCCTCTGACTACCAATGGGCTAAATAGACATATAATGTGTGTATGTATTTAGTCTCTATTAGGTCATCTGAAAATCTACCTCTGTTTATTTATTAGTGGGGAAAATTCCAAATAGAAGAGTCAATTTTGAAAATACAATTGGGGCTAAGGATATGGCTCCCTCATAGAGCACAGGCTTATGCCCAAGGCTGTGTTTAAGTCTCAGCACCAAAAATCTAACAATAATAATTAAAAACAGCAAAGTGTTGGTAGTGTAGCTCAGTAGCAGAGCACTTGCCTAGCATGCACAAGTATCCTAGGTTCAATCCTCCGGCACATGCGCGACACACACACACACACACACACACACACACACACACAAAATGTCTGAGCATGATGGCGCATGCCCCATAATCCCAACAACTCAGGAAACTGACACATGAGAATTCCAAGTTTGAGGTCAGCCTCAGTAATTGAGCAAGATTCTCAGCAACTAAGCAAGGCCTTTCTCAAAATAAAATGTAAAAAGGGCTAGGAATATAGCTCAATGTAGCACTCCATACTTCAATCCCCAATACTGGGTGGGTGAAGTGGGGAGGAGAAAAAAGAAAAATAAAAGTTGTCAGAAGAGGTAAGTAACCAAAATATAATTATGGTGACAGTTTAAAAAAAAAAAAAAAAGCCAATGTCTTACTTTTCCTTCTGCTTACATTTAAGAGAATGAAAGTCACTCTGGTGACTGCTTGAGAACCTGTCCAGTTACTTTGCTCAGTTCATGCATGAACTGAAAAGCACTGGTGTACATGGAGATAACATGAGGAAACAGGTCAGGAATCAGAAGGAATCAGAAATAAACATAATTATTGAGCTACTTCAAAAAAACAAGAGGGTTAGGGCTGTAGCTCAGTGTAGAATACCTGCCTCATGCATGTGAGACACTGGGTTCAA